CTAAAGCTTTATGTGTATTTTTATACACCTTAAATTCCAAATCCTATTCCAACTAGTATTATGAATTAAAATAATAACCTTTAAATCATTTATATTTATAAACATATATTATATATAAATATATATTCCTTCCATAATTAACTCATTAGTTAATTAAATCATATATACTTATAAATATCAATAAATATATATCTATATATATATCTTTCCATAACAATTATTAATTAATTATATTTATATATAATTATATATATATATATATATATATATATATATATAATTGATACAAAAGTGATCATTTAAATAATTAAATAACCACGGACCTTCATTAATTAACCCAATAAGGTTTCATACAAGCCCAAGACCACATCTTTTGGTCCAACTTTTCTTAAGCCCAATCCAATTAATTTAAATAAATAAGATAATTAATTAAATACAGAAATTAAAATAACTAATTACATGAAGCACATAAACAAACAAGAATTTACAACTAAGTCATATAATACCAATAAAATCAACACACCAATAATTCAATCAATAATCAACCACACAAACAATCAATCATCATACATAATCACGAAATATAACTTAATTAAAATAAGATAATTAATCTAGCACTCAATAAAATAAAATAAATCATTGAAAAATAAAATAAAATAATTAATCCTAATTAATAAATCTTTTAAAATTATCGGGGTATTACAGGAAAGGTGTTGGCTCTGATACCAAGTAGAAATATAAAAAGAAGAAAAGTGAGAGAATTGTGTAAATGCTTGAATGAGATGAATCACTCATTCACAATTCTAGTATTTATAGATAAAAAGAGCACATGCTCATATTACAAGAAAGGAAACTAAATCAAATTTGAATCAAATCATAGCATATTCTAAAGCATATTATATGACATATTCTATAACATAATCAAATTTCTGCTATTATAATAAGTCATTTCATAAATCGTGGCTATCATATATGCTAACAATAACCAAGTCTTTCACCTCTCAACTAAGAAGAAGTTCTGATTTCCTTTTCCATTCAACCCTTTTTTCTTCCATTTATTTATTTGTTATCAAAGTTGGTGGTGTCAAGCCTCGTATAGCATCTCATATTTCACCACTGAGTACATACAGTTTCCCTGTCCCACATATACCAGACAATTACCAGGAAATTCTCTAAAGATGGCTCTAAGGAAATTCGAACTTCTTCTAAGATGTGAGGTAAAAGACTTGGTTATGCTATCCTTTTTAGGATTATTTTCTTTGAGTCGTTACTTTAGCCGAAATAGTATTTTGGGAAAGCACATTTGTTGCAAAATTACCAAAATAGCCCTATTTCATGTAAAAGAATTGAAAGATCTTTTTATATACCCATAGTTGTTAAAGGCTCAAGGCGCACAAAAGCACAAAGGCCTCCTGGAGCCTGAGGCGCGCGCCTGACTGAAGCAAGGCTCACGTTGAAAAAAAAAAAAAAAAAACTCACCCAATAAAGATTCAATAGTATATATAAAGATGCAAAAGTTAACTAAATCAATTACTTAAGTTTAATATTCAACATAAAGATGCCAAAGCCAACTAAATCAAGTACAAAAAAAATGAAATGTTGAATAAAAAAAATTGAGATTGAATATTACTCTCACTTTTGATTTCAAGCATTGTTTCAAAGTAAAATTAAGTAGTCTACTACTCTATTGTGAAACTTCCTAAACTTTCAAATACACACAGTCAAACTTTAAATTTTAAAAACCAATTATGGGACGTCCAATGATTTATGTATAGTACCATTTATGTTGGAGGTCATAGAGGCAGTATAAAAAATGGGATTGATTCTAATAAATTAATAATTAAACAACCAGATTCAGAGAAGACAATTTTTTTTTTTTCCTGAATTAAGAGAAGATAATTTTGGAAAACAAAAAGTAATTGAAGCCAGTTATTTTTAATTAACATAAAAATAGTATTTTTAATAAGAAAATCAAGCAAAAGAAAAGGAGGAGTAAAAGAAAAGGCCAGTTATAAAAGGATCTCTTGAATTTTGCTTTTGAAGAGACGTGGCAGTAAAAGAAAAGGCTAAGGGAAGTTATGTAACTTATGTCTCTACGTGGCAGCAAAAGAAAAGGAGGAAAAGGTTGAAGTTGAAAAAAGAGAGAGAAAAGAAGATTATTCTGCCGAGAGAAGAGAGAGAAAAGAAGAGAGAGAGAAGAAGAAGCAGAAGAAGAAGAAGAAGAAGAAGAAGAAGAGAGAAAAAGAGAGAGAAAAGAAGAGAGAAAAAAAGAGAGAGAGAAGGAAGAAGAATAAGAGAGAAAAAAAGAGAGAGAAAAAAAAAGAGAAGAAGAAGAAGAAGAAGAGAAAAAAAGAGAGAAAGAAAAAAAGAAGAAGAAGAAGAGAGAAAAAAGAGAGAGAGAAAAAGAGAGAGAGAGAAGAAGAAGAAGAAAAGAGAGAGAAGAAGATCTGAAGAAGAGAGAAGAAGGAGAGAAGAAGGAGAAGGACTTACCTGGAAATCGCAAGCTTCCTCTGTCGGCAGAATCGCAAACTTGCAGAATTTTGCTTTAAAGTTTCTTAGCCCCTTTTCGATTCACTTTTACAGTTTTCTTTTTGCTTTTACACTTTCCTTTTTGCTTTTGCTTTTATTCTATTCTTTTTCTTTTTGTAAAGTTGCCAAAACAATAATAATAACCAAATAATAAGTAATAAACAAATAACAAATAGTAACAAATAGAAGGAGGCGCACCTTTTCTACGCCTGGGGCCTCTCGCCTCTTACGTAAAGGCGCACACCTTGTTTAGCCCAGACGCCTTAAGTCACTTAAGGCGACAAGATGGCGCCTGGAGGGGCCTTGCGCCTTAGGCGCGCGCCTCCGGCGCCTTTAACAACTATGTATATACTTGTTGAGTTTGTGCTGACTGAATGGCATGCTTTTGGATAAAATACAAGATTATCCAAATGTTGATCAAGAAATTCAAATGTAAATTGATTTCATATAAGAGCTAATTGAGTTCAAGTGACATGAAGAATTAGTATTTGTAAAGGAGCAATTCCGAATGTGTGAAGAAAAAATAATTTACTATAGATATATCAAATCATTCGAGGCATGCATAAGACTGCTACTAACAAATAAAATATAGCTTTTGGTTTATGGTATTTTAATTTTTTCCCCCTTCTGATTTTACTTTCTTTTTAACACTCAAGATGTCAACTGATTATATTTAAAACAGACTAATAGTCACAAGGGTCTTGTCCCACATCGGATACGGATGGGAAGGGTATTTGGGCTTTATTTTAAATGTACTTTATGTACGGATGGGACCAGGCATGTTCTGATATCAATTGTAATAGGTCTACTCTTACCATCCAATCTGAGCACCCTTTGGCCGTCGGATTGTAGCGGTAAAATTGCCAAACTACCCCATCTCTAATACAACTATTGTATGTGTCATGCTAACCTAAGCAACTAAAATAAAAAGATAAAAATGGCCTTGTCCACTAACACCATTTCTCACCTCTCACATAGTACATGTTTGCGTATATGTAAAAACGTAAATGCAATGTTAATTATGGTGTGTATATATATAAGCCACAATACATACAATAGCCTAAAAACCTATAGATAACACTTGTGTCTGTTACGACAAATGCAATGAACCCAAGATAGAACCAAGAATCATGATAGAAAATAGTATGCTCCAAGGAAATTCGAACTTCTTCTAAGAAGTGTGGTGAAAGACTTGGTTATGCTATCCTTTTTAGAATTATTTTCTTTGAGTTGTTACTTTTAGCTGAAATAGTATTTTGGCAAAGCACATTTGTTGTAAAATTACCAAAACAGCCCTATTTCATATAAAAGAATTGGAAGATCTTTTTATATACCTGTTGAGTTTGCACCAGCAAAATGGCATGCTTTTGGATAAAATACAAGATTAACCAAATGTTGATCAAGAAATTGAAATGTAAATTGATTTCATATAAAAGATAATTGAGTTCAAGTGACATGAAGAAATAGTGTTTGTAAAGGAGCGATTTCGAACGTGTGAAGAAAAAATAATTTACTATAGATATATCAAATCATTTGAGGCATGCATAGGATTGCTACAAACAAATAAAATATAGTTTTTGGTTTATGCTATTTTGATTTTTTTTCCCCTTCTGATTTTACTTTCTTTTCAACACTCAAGATGTCAAATGATTATATTTAAAACAGACTAACAGTCACAAGGTCTTGTCCAACATCGGATATCGTTAACAGATATGATAGCCACGATTTATGGAATGACTTACCATATTAGCAGAGATTTGATTTTGTTATAGAATATGCTTTGATTTGATCTAGATTTGACTTAGTTTCCTTTATTATAATACGAGCATGTGCTCTTTTTATTTATAAAAACCAGAGTTGTGAATGAGTGATTTATCTCATTTAAACCTTTAACATATTTCTCTTCTTTTTCTTTTACTTATATTTTTACTTGCGAGTTCGGCACCACCCATTCAGAAATGGTCTGAAGAGACATAGTTGTTTCTTTTTTATGGTCTGAGGAGACATTGTTGATTCTTTCATCTACATTGTTTAAACATGTGTATGAAGGAAAATGGTCTGAGGTGACATTGTTGGTTGTTTACGGTTGTTTACGGTCTGATGAGACATGATTGGTTGTTTATGGTCTGAGGAGACATTGTTGATTATTTATGATATGAGGAGACATTGCTGATTTGTTGATCGGCACGACACTTCATTTGAGAGAAAATCTTCACTAGTCAGATTTGCACTCTACAACTTGTAGATTTTGAATAAGGGTGCTAGCAACATCGTGTTTGAAGATTCACCGTCTAAGTTGGGCGTCTCAGATATTCATACACCAACTTGAGGGAGAGTGTTATGAATATGATAGCCACAATTTATGGAATGACTTACCATATTAGTAAAGATTTGATGATGCTATAGAATATGCCATAAAATATGTTTTGATTTGATTTAGTTTCCTTTCTTGTAATATAAGCATATGCTCTTTTTATCTATAAATAAAAATGTTTACGGTCTGATGAGACATGGTGGAAGGAACACACGCAATTTTTTTTTTAATTATCCAAAATACAATATAATTAATTACGAGAGAAGTGAATGAAATACAAATGCGCTAAATTTGTTGTAATTACCCGTTTGCTGTATCCGAAACGCTGTATCCGCTTATATTTGCTGCTTCCACCAGGGCAGTCTTCCACCTCTGCACTTCCTCCATGTTCCCACTGAAATCTTTCTCATGAATCTCAAAGGCTGATCCAAAAATCCCTGTTTGTTTCCTTACTTCCGAAGGACCGACATCATAGAACACTGGTATCACTGTTTGACCCATCGTTTTCTTGCATTCAACAATTTTCACAAGTTCATCCAAACACCACTTGGAGGAAGCATAGTTTTTGGAGAAAACTATGAGAGCGAATCTAGATTCTTCGATCGCTTTCAGTAGGGCTGGTGAAATTTCCTCTCCTCGTCTGAGTTGTTCGTCGTCTTTGAAGGTGTAGATTCCTCTCTGAGACAAAGCATCGAACAGGTGGTCCACAAAGTTCTTGCGAGTGTCTTCACCTCTAAAGCTCAGGAATACATCGTAATTCCACCCAGGGACAGGGTTAGAAGACAAACACACAGTGTGTGTGCTCGTGGAAGCCATTGGGAACAAAAACAAAGAAAAAAAAAAGCTTGCGATTGTGTGAAGAATTTAAAGGAACACTTGAATCTATAAGGTTTGATCTATTTTCTAATAATTTAGTCTGTCTCATTCCCTGGCATTTAGTGTAGCAGGAAATTACTATCTAATTACGGTGAAAGGTACACTAAAATAAAATGCAGAAGAAGGAAACTTCTTTTTAACTACAGAATAATAACTAATACACATAAAAAAATATATATAATAATAATAACTTATTGATAAATTAGTCTGTCGCATTCCGTGCATTTAGAGTAACAGGAAATTACTTCGGCGAAAGGTACACTAGAATAAAATGGAGAAGTAGCAAACTTCTTTTTGCTCATTTTTAAAGATTAGATCTATATTGAAATTATGTAAAGAAAAATATATGAAAGAGTTGATTTTATATTCTGAATGGCAAGTCCGAAGGAGAAGACGTGTGTTGTATAATTTCCCTTTCTTATATATATATATATATATACTTACTTTCATGATTAGCTTTTATGAATAATTCCCCGGTTGCAAAAAAAATATATGTAAAAATTATCAACACGAAACTCGTTGTCTCAACTCTAGATTGTTGTGTTTCCTTGTTTTGCTCAATTGAGAGAAAAAAAAACCATAGAGCAGTCAAATTAATTATTTATTATACCTGGCCAACTGAGGATGCAAGTATAAGAGTAGGATGCAAGCATAAGAGTAAAAGATCCTATTTTGATTTTTTTGGATAAAGTAAATATATTATCATCTTATAGGTTGTTTCTTATTCTTTTCTATATGGATTTTTTTGGATAAAGTAAATATATTATCATTTTATATCTACTTTCTTATTCTTTTCTATATGGATTGTCCGAGAAAGAGGTTACTGAAAAATTCTGATTTACGAATATAGTAAAGTAAATACCTCGCCTATGTGATCAAATGATTAGATAAGCTTATTATATTCTATTGGATTAGAATTAACTTTGAGATTATTTATCCTTTTATTCTATTATACAATTGCAAAATTCACCATTAGCATCATGAATCATTTTCTTTATGGTCCCGTTTCGGTACATAGTCTTTTATTGTTCTTAAGATATTTTGCCTTTTTTTAAAGATTAGATCTATATTGAAATTATGTAAAGAAAAACATATGAAAGAATTGATTTTATATTCTGATTGGTAAGTCCTAAGGAGAAGTGTGTGCCTGATTTGCCTTTGTTATACACACACACATATATATGCTTTCGTGATTAGCTTATATAAATAATTCATTAATTCACTTTTAATTTGCTTACAAAAAAAATTTATTTCCTTCGTTTCAAAATAGTTGGACGTTGTTTCTACTTTCTCGGTCCCAAAATAATTGGGCAGACGGAGAGGAGTATAAACAAATACATATGTGGTCTGTGTGACTTTGAAAATTGTGACTAACTCTAAGTCATACAGACGCTCTAAGTCATACAGACGCGTCTCTTGCTATACACATGATTACAATTATAAAATGTGACAAAAAAGGCAGTGACCATGTAAGATGGTAGGCAACACTTACCATATGTATGAGGCGATTTTTAAAAGTTTATTTGAGTAGTTAAATGAAGTTCAAATTAAGCATATGTTATATATCGGAAATCTTATTAAATATAGTTTGTCATTTTTGTGATAAATGTATATCTTAGTTCAACAATGAATATATGCTTATTTTATTATTTTATTCCAACTGTGTTGTTTTTCCTTTATAATATCGTGAAATACTTTGAAACTGAAAAGGCTTAATTATGTTTCATTTAATATTGTGAGCACAAATTATTTATCATAAATCCTTAATGAGTTCCATTTTAATAGATATGAAATTACAAGTAAATGGAGAAATCAAGCATCCTTGTAGGACTGCACAAAAATAATAATTTATAAGAAATTGAAACTTGAATTCCTCACGGTGAAAGACCCACTTATTTTGTGGCAAAAGTTGAAGGAGTGATACGATCGTAATCCTCCCAAAAGCTCGATATGAGTGAATACAACTGCGATTGTAACATTTATAAAGCTGTTGGAGAATATAATTTGACCTTGTTTAAAATGACTCTATGGTAAATGATGTGGAATTATTACTCATTAGTATATGTTGACAAAAAAATCATGTCGATGACGTAGATTGATGAAATATTTTATGTGGAGAAGATATATTGAATAAGAGATTCTCCACTTATTACACCAAGTGCATAGATATATGAAATATTTACAGTTGATATCATGCATGTTTGTGGTAAAGCAAAATAATAATCTTTTGTAGAGAAAATACTAGTCACGTCCGATCGGATTGACACAATCCTCAAAGTGAATATTGTCTCATTTCGCAGTCAAGGACGTGGTCGTGGGTATAGCCATGGTAGAAATAATTACCACCAGTATAGTAAGAATTTCACACCATAGTCCCAAAAGTGGAACAAAATAATATTAAACAAGCAAAGGGGGAGGATTTGCCTCAACCTCCTAGGGCACATGAAATTGCTTGTTATTGGTGTGAAATCAAAGGAGAAAAAGGTTGCATACTTGTTATGCGTTTAAGCATTGAGCTGATCTTTACCGAGCCTCAATAAAAGAAAATGGAAAAAAGATAGAAATCAATTTCATTGATTATAATGAGCATGTGGACATTTCTTATCTTAATAGCTCAAATTTTTGAGGACCAAACTAACAAAACTGATCTTTTGATTAGTAATGAAAATGTCCACACTGATTATTTTTTTACTTTGTTTTATCATATATGTTGTTTAGCATGCTTTTATTTTTAATATGTCAAAGTTTATTTATTTATTTTTTTTTTAAGGTTATGACATCAAAATATAAAGTTTGCATATTTGAGTAACTGTGACAAAAGTAAAGTATCAATAGGAGAGAAGGATCATGAGATAGAAGGAGCTGGGAACTTAGGAGGATGAGGTAGGAAGGGCAGGTCGGGCTCCGCGGATATTTCTGGATAGATCTCGGAATATAGTCGCGACATCCGTGCGAAAGGCAACAAAATCAGCTCTGTGGGCTGTGAGATCAGCACGTATGGCAACAACTGTTAGGATATGTGTGCCCTAGCATAGCAAATTCTAATTTTGGATTGTAAAAGTCATGGTTTCTTGTCTGGATATTATTATTAAAGCATTATACAATTGGTGAATGGAATGTATTATTTTTTCGATTCTTTATGGAATTGATGGTGTCCGCTTGATTACAAAATATATTTATATATGTATGTAATGGCAATTAATACTATGATATAAATTAGTAATCATAAATGGTTTAAAGTCGGTAATTATGGATGGACATTTAATTAGTTAAGACTTAAACCGAGTCCACGATAGATTGAGATATATTGCGAGAGCTGTCGTATGCAATTGCTCTCTATCACAGTCATGGCTTTTGACTCTCGAGCATGAGAGAAGTATAGACTCTTTTATTAATTAATAATTACTTTGATTTGTTCGGCGGATACCTCGGGATCTTTAGATCGACACTTTAGGTAGTTATGTAATTAATAATTAGAGGGCTATATTCTCAATATTTGCATCAGTGCTATTTGTATTTATTTTGTTTTGATTATGGTTGATCACAAATTAAATTCGAAGGCCTTCGTATGTTTTAGACAAATGTTTTATATATATATTTATTTAATAAATTATTATTATTTTTTGTCAAATAAATATTTTATTGTGATCGAGCCGGAAATAATCAAAGGTAACAAAATAATTATATTAATTATGTTGTCGGATTGATGGCTTTAATTATCCGATAAATAATTAAGCATAGAGGGGTCAAAGTGCAACATTGACTTAGAGGTTATTTACTATTTAATTGGAGTGCAATTAATTTCTTTTAGTGGAGTAGAAATTAATTTATGAATTAATTGAATTGGGTCCATGGTTTAATGGACCGGACCAATTATTAATTTATAAGAGCCAAGAAAATAGTAAGCCCAAAAGGATTCTCACCAATAGCCCAAGTTGATATTGGAGTCATGTTAGGATTGAGAAAGTTGAATTAGAGATGGAGAATGATTTATTGTTTCCTTATTCTTATTTTTATTTTGCCTATATATACATGAGTTCATGTATATTTTAGGGGTGACTTGGAGAACAAGAAAAAGGAATACACTTTCTCTCTCTAGATTTTAGGGTTTTGTTTTCTCTTCTAAAGGAGGCTACCACCAGCCTAGATTCCAAGGTCATTTATCAAGGCATATTGGTGATTCTTAAAGGGAAAATAATAATCGAACGGAAGGAGAAAGGATCTTGCTAAAGGGATCTACAATAAGTGAGAACATTCACTTTAGAGGAAAGTTCAAAAGGTTTACTCAGACCTTTGATGTAAGTATTCAATCTGTTTATTGAATTATGCATCATCTTTTATTTATCTTTGCATAAAACTTGTTTCTGTGTGATGAATCAAGATCCGTGATTGCAAATCCCTCAAAAGTTTTAAAAACTTGCACGTTTCCCAACAGTGGTATCAGAGCACATGGTTTGATTCATTACTAGAGAACATGTGTTTATAAAAATCATATTCATGGATCCAAATTATATATACATATATAAAATTATTGATATATGTTGATGTATGATTTATTATGTTGATATATATTAATACATGTTGATGTATGTATAATTGTGAATGGATGATGATGTGTGTTTGGGTCATGGATGAAGCTTATAGGTATATAGAATGTAATTTTATTTTTGGATGAATGTAATTAAGGCTTTGTTTTAGCCGTTTGAAAATTCAATGATGTAATTTAATTTTTTCCATTGTATTTCAAATTGTAAGTATTTATTAAAGCCATGTAATATTCATTAAAGGATGCTATGAAGCTTCAAGAGGGTCCGAAAGGGTTAAATTATGCTTCAGTAATTTTCTGAAATTTTTCCGAATTTTTCGGGAATTTTTTGAGGCTTAATTTAATTTTCTGGGATTTTTCTGGATTTTTTGGAATTTTTTCGGCGTTTTTCCGGTGGCCGGAGCTTCGCCGGCGGCGAGAAGGGGCGTCGGAGGTGGCCCGGATCAGGTGTGGCGTCAAGATGGTGAGCCTGGCGCGTGTTCCACATGCGCCAGGAGAGTGCACATGCTGGAGCGTGCATTGCACGCGCCAGCCAAGGTAGCTTGACCTCCACGCGCGTGAAGGCGCGTGGAGGCGCGTCCCACGCGCCCCAGGCGCGTGGGAGCGCGTGAGGGTGCATTCCATGCGCCCCAAGCGCGTGCCGGCGCGTGGGGGCGCGTGAGAGCACGTGCAGCTTGCCCTAGGCGCGTGCCAGCGCGTGTGGGGTCCTCCGGGCTCGTTCCAAGCGGCGTTTTGCTTCTCCTGACGCGTACAAGCTTCCTATGGGTGTTTACAGACAGTTGAAGGATGCCCGTACAGCAAGAATAGTT